CGATTTTAAGGTAATGGGATGGGATGTCTTCAGAGTTTACTCACACGGGTGAAATATCTCGATTATATCAATTATGATAAAAAAATTCATTGTAAATCTTTTTGTCAATATGGCCGTCAAACCGAGGCATTCCAAGATAAGCCAAATAAGTTTGCGAGGTAGAGATATTGTGGAATTATTTGTATCATTTTCACAGGTGCACTATCTCAGTTATATCAATTGTGATAAAAAATCCGCTGTAAATTTTTTTTGTATATGTGGCCGTCAGACAGAAGCATTTCAAGGTAAGCCAAACAGTTTGCTTGGAAAAAAATGAAAAATGCGGTGTTATTTGTTTCATGTTACAGGTGAAGCACTGGCTGACATTTAATGAGCCCTGGTGCGTGTCTGTACTGGGGTATGAAGTGGGTCAAATGGCGCCGGGTATTAAACTGGCGGGAACCGGTGCCTACAGGGCCGCTCACGCCATCCTAAAGGCGCATGCCGAGGTGTACCACGTGTACCATGAGAAGTACAATGCAGACAAATCAGGTAGATAAAAGAAGCTCCAGTAGAGTTGCGTGACATGCTAAAGATTATAGTAACACCACGGATTATGCACGCTGTCTCCGAAAGGTGTCGCCTTGCCTGTAGAGACAATGCAATTCAATAACCGGGCACATACTGTAACCCATATCGAAGGTGGCAGATACTTCCAAATACAATATTTGTCCATGACTGAAATATATATTGATCAGAAAATGAAATATCACCTTTTAAGCATCCTATAACATCATTAATTGGTTCTTCTATTTTTCTCACATAATATTCACATGAAAAACTTGCAGGTAAAATCTCGATCACGTTAAGTTCGGACTGGTGCGAACCGAAGACGAAGAGCCCCGCGGACGCCGAGGCGGCGGAGAGGAACCAGCAGTTTATTCTTGGCTGGTTCGCGCACCCCGTGTACGTCAACGGTGATTACCCGGATGTAATGAAATGGACCATAGGGAACAGGAGTAAGGAAGAAAACCTAAACCAATCCAGGCTACCCGTGTTTACTAAAGACGAGAAGGCAAGGATAAAAGGTTTGGAAAAAATCATTACATCTTTAGTCTTTCATCTTGACTGTTATCAATTGTCATAACTTAATTCACATCAGCTTAACATGAAGTTAGGTTATGCAAGGTTTGTTGTGAAGGTTAGGATGAATAAGGTTAATTTTTTAGAATTTTAAGTATTTAAAGTTTGCGAAAATACCGTACGCCATGTACCGGTAGTACCGAACCAGTTTAAAAATCCTGTCTTCATTAACGAACGCTGCTTTGGTGACACTATTGAAATAATAGCCTTAGCTGTCGTTATAACAGGGACCTTTGATTTCTTCGGCCTGAACACGTACACCACAAACCTGGTCACTGGCGCCAAAACCACGGGCGCCGGATACTACAACGATATCGAGGCGGCGTCTTCTAAAGACCCGAAATGGAAAACGTACGTATAAATACCCAAAAATGACAGCTGTGTAGTGTCATTACTCAAATTATTATTCCAATAAAGGATTCTTTGGCATGATTATTTATTTATTTATCTATTTATTTATTTATTCATCATATAGGAAACGGTGCAAGAAATGAAACGAAAGTGATAATGATTTTTTCCAGTTTAAAAGGTCTTTTTAGAGAATATTGTCATAATATTATAGCCATAACCAGCCGATATCTTTCAGTCGTCAAACCGATTTAGTTGACGCACGTAAAAATGAAATAGGTACCAAACCACTAAATCAATAATAGGGCCTACCAATATTACACAACCAATAGTTTGGCAAAAGAAAGAAAAGTTTACATCCAGTGCCCACTGAATATTGGCAGTTTAATTACGGTTGGTGAAATTTCATTTAGTCGTACCAAGACGTTAACTTGGTAAACTAAGACGTAATCTGATTGCATTTGGTGAAAGTCCCCGCGAAGTTGGATCAATCTACTGAGTACGATAGTTTCACTGTGAACACACCCTTAACCTCTTTTTGAAAGCCTGCGCGTTTATTCTTCAGATCGGGCTCGTCTTGGCTGACAGTGGTGCCCTGGGGCATGCGCAAGATGCTTAACTGGGTGAAGAAACAGTACAACAACCCGCCCGTCATTATCACAGAGAACGGCATGTCAGACAGGAACACAACCATCCCTGGAATATACCGCGACGACTGGAGAATAGACTACTACGCCGGATACATTAGTAATATGATTGACGGTAATAACAAATACCATTTATTTGTGTGCCCCCTTTTTGCCTTGGGGCGTGCAATTTTTAAAAAAGTGAAAATATAGTTTTAAAGAATTAAAATAGGTAACCTTAGTTTTCCGATTAATATCCTTTACTTACCATAATGTATATGTCTGTAAGTTATCACATCAGCGGGTGACACGATCACATTTAAACAATCCCTCTGTCACATGTGACACACTTTTTTTATAACACCTAATACAACACTTGTATACCTACCACACCGCACGCATCTAACACAGGTACTTAAACACCTAAAACAACGTATTTATACACTTATTGCAACGCACTGATACACCTAAAACCCCCTTCACACTGGGCGGCGTCCGTTCTGCGTCCTTTGTGCGACCATGAAACTCGCATCGCACAAGCATCGCTTTGGTTGCAGAATGAATGCTTTAACAATTTAACACTTCATACATTTTCCTTCCAGCGGTCACTAAGGATAAATGCAACGTGATAGGCTACACTGCCTGGTCAGTTATGGACAACTTTGAGTGGTCAAGTGGCTATTCCCAAAAGTTTGGCATGTACCACGTGAACTTCAGTGATCCCCTGCGTCCAAGGACCCCCAAGGAGTCGTCTGTGTACTACTCCATGGTGATCAAAGCTAACGGCATCCCGAAGTATGCCCCACGGTCTTTTCATGTTTTAAATGAAAATTAATGAAATTAATAAATTATTAGAATGAACGTCAGTTTAGAAAGTTCTTTTTTTTTAAGGTCAATGTGAAAAAAATGAAAACTTCTAAGTAGTTATAGACAACACTTGAATATCTTAATTTCTGCCTTTTTAGTCATGCCTTGATATATCCGCTGTTTAATTTGCGAATTTTAATTTGAAAATTAAGTTTTCAATGCTTCAAATGGCTTTGTCGCGGATTCAAGAAATACACTTGGCGCTAACTAATCATGTCACTTCTTAAAAAGACATCTTTGGGTTTACAAGCTCAGACATGATATTTAATTGCAATATTTTTTCCAAACCGTTTTCTTTTAATTTTTCCTTCTTTTTTGAATAATAAATGAAAACAAGTACTCAAAACGTGTTTTAATTACTTTTCACAATCTATTTATTGTATTAGTGACATCAGTTCTTTAACTTAATTCACCAGATTGCCAGTTTATGAGTTCCTATTCAACTTCAGTAAAAACTATGGGCCTATCTCTGCCAGTTTTGGAGATATAAGGGACTTAAATGTTGCAAAGTTCAGTTCGTGGTGAAAAGTAGGTCAAAGGTCAATTTCAAGGTCACAGATTGCCAGTATAAGACTTCCTATTCAACTTCAATAGAAACTATGGACCTATGTCTGACAGTTTTGGAGATATAAGGGACTAATTGTTACAAATTTAGAGTTACAATAATGTGCCGTAAATTTCCCTACAGAAGAAATTAATTGAAATAAAGAAAAGGTCATTTTCTTTGAAATTCTTGAAATGAGAGGTGCTCAGAAGTCCCAGATATTCAAATTTCATGAAGTAATGTTATTTTTGACCAGAAGTTGTCTGCCTCGCCAAGCCTTATGTTATCTTTTCCAGACATTCAAAATTTTATGCATATTTTATGCGTATTGCACATTTTACTTTCACCACCACAATGAACTGTTTGATGCAGCATAACTCGTAAACCGTATGGAAAAAAAAAAAACGGAGACCACCTTCAGTGTTGGGTTGACATGCTCTACAAAATGCAAAAACGAATAGATCTCTAGCATTATCGGTTCCCGAATAAGAGACAGTTTTCAGTTTCGGTATCTTATGGCCGCTTCTCCCGTGAAAATGCACCGATTGACCCCAAACTCACAGAGATGAAAAATGACCTGAAGGGTAACACCTGCCAATTATATAATAGGTTAGCTCTGTCTAGTTTCCCAATATCGACGCAACTATTTTTTTTTTTTTTTGTAAAAAATCCCTTTTTTAATTTTGGCCCCTTTCACCTTGAAATAAAGGCCAAAGGTCAAATCCAAGGGCACATTTGAAATCTCCACATATGAATTTCGGTCAGCCGTCTGTAGAAATTTTTTCCATAATTTCTTCCGTATGGTAGATATATTTAGCATTTATTTTTGCCAATTTTGGACAAGGGTGCATTTCGACGAGTACCACACCTCTTGGATCAGGACGACCAAAATACAACTTTGAGTCAACGTCACATCATGACAGCGTTTTGATGTGGCTGAATCGACATTGATTTGACGTTGACTTTAGGTAGATCAACGGCCCAACCTGTTTTCAACGTTGATCCAATGTCACTATGCCTGTCGGAGATGACAACAGCGTCTCCTTGTTACTCTAAGAGACCATTCCCACAGATATTTAGATCGATCTATCCCCCTGGGGAGTCTCACTAAATTGCTGCCAACTTGGCCGGCTTAAATGTCTATCACGACTAGTAAAGCTGTTAGGGGGTAATTATCTTTACCCTAGCTGATTCGGTAGGCGTGACAGACATTTAAGCCTCTTGAGCTGACAGCAATTTGGCGTGAACCCCCAGGGAGTTAAGTCAATCCAGATGGATCGATCTAAATATGTGGGAATGCAGTCTAACATCTAATCATACTTCTACTATCTAAAATATCTTGTAAGTCAAGTATATACTAATATATACATTACTTTCCATAGTTTACAAACTTATCACAGATGAATATTCCTGTCCTATGACAATAATAATACTCATATTTCAATACAAAGTGAACATCACCGTCACATATCTTAACTTGGAATAATACCTACTTCAAATAGACAGTAACTGCCTCGGCTTGGTTGCAATTCATACAAAAGCAGCAGTGGAGAGAGATAGAGAAACAAAGCTGATCTGACTTCGCTGGAATACCAGATGCCAGAACCATCATCTTGCCAATCCTTTTGTGGTTGTCATGCTCATTAAATACTCAGAACTCTGATATAGTATTTATTACTTAAGCGGCACTTTTGTGTAAATCTGAATCATATCAGGCTTCATTTTATCAATTGATCCATTTGAGTTGATATGAATTCGTTAAATTGAGAACAAGACTGAGAGATAGAATGCATTCTCATAGATTTTAGATCGAACTATCCCTGTGGGGAGTCTCACTAGATTACTGTCAGCTTAGCCGGCGTAAGCGTCTGTCCCGCCTACTAAAAGCTGTAAGGGTGTAATTAACTATGGTGCGCGCTCGGCTGACTGCAATTTAGCGTGAACCCCCAGGGAGTTAGATCGATCTAAATATAAATCTCTGGATCGACCTAAATCTCTGGGAATGCACCCATAGAGAGAGGGTAAAAAAGAGGTCTAACATTTTAAAAATCTGTCCAATAGTCACTTGTCTCACGGCTTATTCCCAATGATACTATATAAATGAAAATGGCATTGGCGGATAGGCCAAGCACTACAGATTTATCCAAAACTGAACAAGACCAAAATATTGTACAAACAAAGTAAATTGTTTCTTAACAGTTTAAACACTTTTTTGACAATGTGGTATAATGTTTTGACTTCTCTTTAGAAAAGATTTACTCTTATACCATCACTTTACAAGAAAAAAAGAAGAAATATATTTCCCTAAAGACCAAAATGGTCGGTCTTAACAGATGCAAGAAAATTTCAACATGATTTTTGGGGGTTAAACAGACCAAATTGCACAAGATTATATAAAAACAGCATCACACAAACTTCTGATAACCATATTATTTCTATAGGACACTCATTTTAATAGTGAAGGTTTTGTATTGTTATGCCTAAATGCTACTGTTACATCCGGCCTAAGGGACCATTCACAATGAATTTTGTCAACTTAGCTTACACACACTAACTCCACGGGGAGTAGCATTGAATACAATCAGAATATAACAGATAACTTGGTAGCATACCTAACATTGTGTAGAATATATGTAACTATGTGTAAATATGCACTCGTCTCGAGATGTCTTGTCTTGTGACTTGCTGTGATTCTAACGCCCTCTAATTATTCCTTTGTCTATGTTCCTTTGTTCTGTCTTCCCGCGTCTAGCTGTGTCATGTGACGTCTCGTTATAAAAGGCGTTGGCGCCGGATTTTCAAACAGTGCTGGAGTTGCTGTTATATGTCACCGTTTATTACAGTGTGAAAATTTTTGTTATACCAGTAAAGATATTTTAAACCACACGAGAGTCCGTCTGTTACATATAGAAAATTAAAGCTAGTGATTATAAGTTGGTAAAAAAAACTTTTGTGAGCAGTCCCACTCACAAGAAGCAGATCCACCAATCTGACCTTCAATCAATCATAAACAATTGGATAAGTGTTTTCAGCTTATCTTATCAAATGCAACTTCACATGCCCTAAATTTTCTTGAATAATTATGATTTATTAAAATGAGCATGGTATAATAGAACATAACTGTATAGCATTTAAGGGAAGATGAAATGCAGTCTATGTAATTTATTTAAAAGAACACGGCCTCTGAGAGATCTGGTGCCAGTAATTATACACATGCTTGCAGACGAAACTGCCGCTGAACATGCTAACTTCATAACAATTCAGTTTATGTAATAATGATAACATTTCTATTTCAATGACAAGAACAAATATGACATGAACAACTATCAATTCAGAGTTTTTTGTTGTAAGCTGAAATCACAATGGAGTTAATCTCCTCAATGCGCTTTTTGAACACAGCTTACACAAGTGTGCATGGTTTATTTGTTGTCGACATCGACAAATAAATCACGCTATGATATTGTATTATGAATAGTTGCTCAGTAGTTTGATTTTTTTTTAAGAGAGAGAGAGAGTGTTGTCGACATCGACAAATAAATCACGCTATCACATCTAACGCAATGTCACGGTTATCTGTTCATGAATATTTGAGTAGTTTTTGTCAACGTTCGCTATAAAAGCGGGCGCATACCACTTCTGGGTGCGGTCATGTTTTTCTCTTCAGAATGTAATAAGGTAAGCTACATAGAACGCTTATAGATATGTGTATTTAGTTGTTTATTTATTTCGATAAAAAAGATTTGGTAAACCGTCATCACCTATTTGTAGTTGATTAAGTCAGGTGATATTAGTATAAAGTCATCTTTTTTATATCGATATATATATATATATATATATATATATATATATATATATATATATATATATATATATATATATATATATATAGTCGACATGTACGTTCTCCTTTTAGGCAATTGCTTTCCTGGCCGCCACGTTGCTGTGCTTGTAATCTTTAAGTTGCCGCATGTTGTGTAAGTACTATAGCTATATAATTTCATAGTTTTATTTCAGGCCTACCCAACTACCAGACTCGGCACCTAAGGATCCTGAATTAACCGGTATATCGGACCACGCTACCCGTTTTCAAGGTGTGTGTCAGATCGCATTTCGGAGTATCATCCCCCAGAGCAAATTTTGTAGCACGACTGCGGGCTCATCCACGCTCGGCTGAACAACCTTAAACTGTACTCTTACTTTAGAGTACTCTATTTTATTGTCTCTATGGGGATATATGGGGACTTTACGACATTCGGTTTGAATGTTTTAACCACTTTTGATAGGGCTTTTTTGCATTGTATTAGATTAATGTGGCAGTCTAAGGGTCATCTAGGTGGCTTGCAAAATTATGCACCCGGTTTTAAAATCATATAGCGATTTTACGACAATCGTTTACTATCCAATCAAGGTGACAGCCGAGCATGTCAGGGCTCATCCTGTCGGTGTTCTGGCTGATACTCCGAAATGCGATCTGACACACACCTTGAAAACGGGTAGTGTGGTCCGATATACCGGTTAATTCAGGATCCTTAGGTGCCGAGTCTGGTAGTTGGGTAGGCCTGAGTTTATATTGTCGATATTTGCGTTTAGGTGTTGCTCTCTCTCTCTCTCTATTCTTTATTTTGCATTTGTATGTAAACTTATAGTATGTCAGTTTTTTATATTTGTTATTTCAGTATAGTAAATAATTTATTTCTTAATATTATTCCTTTTTTATTATTTTTTTAGTTTCACCACTACAGAATTCACTACAGAATTCACTACAGATATCACTGCAAGATAGTTCTTCCGATATCACTTCATTACACCATTAAAGAACATAAAAGGACGAATGGGGTTACGTCAGAGCCGCTGTTTTGTTACCATAACCATATTTAAAAACGAGTTAAAGTAAAAGGCTAAATATTAAATAATTTTTTTTAATTTGTAGCAGGCAACTCGTATTTTATCTGGCCCTGCCAGTGTCCATGACAACATGCCCCAGCTTCCCCCACCACTGCGGTGTGAGTGAAGACCAGCACTGGTGAAACTTCAAGATTCTGTAGACACAATATTGGAGAAACTCCTGCGACATGAAGAGCTGCTTCACCAAATTTTGGGAGCCCCCCTACCACCCCCACCATTATCAGACCACCCCCCCCTGCCACCACCTACACCACCAAACCATCCCCCCTGCCGCCGCCACCGACTACGGAACACCACCCCCTGCATCCCTTTTGAATTTAGACAGCCTCCTCCCATCTCCCCAACCTCCCCCTGTGTTTCCCAGCCCACCACCTTTCCCTACATATCTCCAACCCCCATTTTTAACATACAAGGAGCACATCACCCCCATGCCCCCTTTCCCTCCACACTACCCGTACCCGTACCCGTACCCAGTCCCTGCCCCTGCCCCGGCTCGTTCTCAAGGCCACCCTCCTCAGACCCGTCCGTTTTTCCCCACTGAGAACGAGCTTCTTGTCCTGAAACAGAATTCCACGGGGGCGACCAATTTTTGCGTGAAGCTCATGTCAGCAGGGAGGAGAGAACGGACCCCACAAAGAATGTGGAAGGATCAAAGAGAGGGGGCGACATGCGGAGTCCGTTGGATAGAATTAGAATACAATTCATACGAAAAGCTGTTGGTCGGTACTCCCCGGAGCAGTAGAGACTGAACAAGAACTTTTGGGGAAAGATGGTTTCTGCCATGAACACTGCAAATAGAAATTTAAGAGCGTGCAACCAAAATTAGCGAAGTGTATATGTTTTAGTATTAGTTGTTATAGTTTATAGTTTAGTATTAGTTGTTATTAATGTTTTTCAAAATAGCATTTCTTCAAATAAGCTTAGATTAAGACTACATTGATTGCCTTTTTACTTTTTCATGTTAATCTTTGATTAATTTTGTGTAATTAAATTCTGTTTTGTGACCGAAGTGACTTTTGTCGTTCATCTTGGCCATTTTAAATTCTCAAAGTCAATCGAAAGCTTATTAAATGGTTATCCAAAGTAGTGCTCTCCTCACTCCTCACTTTTCAAGGACAATAGTTTCTTCAATCCCTTATCACAATAGGAATTGAAGGGAACAACTCGCGATCCAGTATTAATTTTTCACCGCAAATCTTTTAAACGCTTACCGCAAAGCTGTATAGACAAGCCTTTTTATTTTTCCAGTTTATTTCAATTACTGTGGAATGAGCTTCGATCAGTTTGAAATGTTACGCCATTCAGTCATTCCACGTTCAATAATAAAACTTGCACTTACACGGATTGCTAAAAAGTGCACAGTATTGGCCTCGTCTCAACGTAGCAGGGTACAATACCTTTTTATTTTATTAGCCCACAATCACTCGATCTACAGTATATCTCACCTCATTTCACGCGTGGCTAGCTGTTTGGGTAAGCATGAACACAAACCAGGCCCGCTAGCAATTTCAGAGGGTGGGGGGGTTCGTTTTCTAAAACTATAAAATCCTCAAGTACATAGGTAAAATTTTACCCAGAGTGGACCTTTTTCCAGCAAAAAAGGTGGTTCTTTCGACCCCCCCGAACCCCCCCCCCCCCGGCTACGGGCCTGCAACCGTCACCCAAAGTGCATAATCCCAGCCC